AGTTAAAATTTTCTAACCCTTCTTGTTAGAATTTAAATATTTCTAGTGAAATAATTAATTACATTACTTACTTTTAAAAATTAAGTCATTTGATCTGTGTTTTACGTCCGTATTCGTAACACATAGTAATAAATGAGAAGCAGTTGATTTCCAAAAATGAAATGGAAAGTTGTTTTTAAATGTTCCTTAAAACCTGTTTTTTTAATCTCCATTTTTTAAAGTGTTGAGTAAAATAGTTCAGGGACTTCGTTAAGAAACCCAGGGATTGTAATGTAAAATGCAGATGTGAGACAAATTTAAAGAAGAATGAGTAGACAGAAGGAACTAGGCTACAGAAAAAGTGGAAGAAATCAAAGGGGCTAACAATTATTATTATATACTATGCTAAGTGTCTTACATGTAATGACTGGTATAATCCTGACAATTAACGTGTACGATAGGATAGTTAACACCATTTTAGAGTTGAGGAGTCAAAGTTTTACAACTTGTAGGAATAGAGTTAGAATTCAGATCCACACTCAATTCGTGTCTAGTGCTTTCTCTAGGCTGGGTTGCTTATCTGTCTTTTTTTGTGAAAGAGTGATTTCTACAAAACTAACAGAGAGAAAATTCCTAGTACCCCACCCCTCCAAAAATAACTTGATTAAAGCAGAAGAAGTGGAGATGTTCAGGAACAAAGCATTGTGTTCTAAAGAGCATCTGACAATAGGGTTTTGCAGATCAACTTAGGACTCTGTGAACAGTTTAGCCAAAAGAAAGTTATAGCATTTAGGGCCTTTATTTTATAATTTAAAAAAAGATTACCTTTAGTAACAATTATTTGCAATGTATTCAGTCTCGTTAATATTAAAAAAAAAAATACATTGAGAGATTTCTGATTTTCCCGTTGGCGGAACTATTTTAAAAATAGTTTGTATACCTTGCAAAGATTATCATGCAGTTAAAACTCTCATTACTTGGATATTTCAAATAGAAACAAGTGTTTTAGAGAGCAATTTTATAATGTATATCAACAGTCATTATCATTACATCATCATTGGACTCAAGAAGATCTCTGTTGGAAACTTTTCCTAGGAAAACAATAAGGAATTAAGAGAAAAATTACACACACACACACACACACACACACACCCACACACCCCCAAAACTAAACCATTGCCATCGAGTCGATTCCTACTCAAAGTGACCCTATAGGACAGAGTAGAACTGCCCTGTAGGGTTTCCAAGGAGCAGCTGGTGAATTCGAACTGCCGGCCTTTTGATTAGCAAGTGTAACACTTAAGCACTAAGCCACATATATACACACACCCGTATAAATACCTATCTGATAGCATTACTTAGAATAGCTGGAAATTGGAGAGAGTCTACATGTCCAAAAACAGAGAATTGGATTCTTGAAAGCAGGTATCGTATTTGTTTGAGATAGTAGATAGTATATTACTTACTAAGCTCTTAATAAGGGTAGGTAGGTGGATAAGAAGGAGGTCACTCGGCCTTCTTAAAAGAAGTTTCCTGCCATTGAAAATTATAACTGTAGCAACATGGAAAATAATTATAGTATTATAGATTAATAGTAAGTGAAAAATATAGGACAGAAATTACCTGTACTGCGAGAGTAGGCTGTAGCACCTAAATTTGGAGTAGCACATGAAAATACTATGCATGTAAAAAGTTAATAGTAGGAAGTACACGTAATTTCCCCCCTACGATGTGGTACTATTTTTGTTTGTTTATAACTATACAAAAAGAATATATGAACTTTTAGATTTAAAAAATGAATATGTTTTAACCTGATAATAGCAGAAATCCACTGTGGGTCTGTAAGTTCTGAAGTGAGCCTGTCCACTGGGTCTGTAATATGCTGCAGAGACTCCCTCATTCACTTCTTGGGAGCTCTGCTAAGTTTAGATTTAGAGCCTACCCATGCATCTACTTTCGAGTTCTTTTTTCTAATTTAGTAGCAAGTAAAATAAAACTTGGTAATATTATTTTTTCTGTTGAAATTACTTAAAAGTGTCTGTAGTTTCAGAGTATTTGTGATCGTGGGTGAAGAGTTAACAAAACCCTTTCTCTTTCTACATTAGAATTTGATCTTTGCTTAACCATCTAGCTCTCTTCGCCTGAAGACCTAATGAAAACTGGACTGTCAACTAGGTACTAGGCAACATAGCTTATAGGAAAAATTACTCCTAGTTGCTAACTTGTATCTAGACTGGGAGAACTATTAATACCTGGTAGGAAGGCATAACTTTGAGCATCTTTGAGTTCAGTGACTCCAGTAATGGTCATGGCCCCAGTGGGGTCTAAGGGTTTTATGCCAGTGTTTGTGTTCCACATCCACCCCATACGGACCTCATCTCCTCATACCTGAACCCTGGGATTGCTGCAGGCACTTGGCAGAAAGGAATGCCTGGATGCTGCCTTCCTGACAAATTGTAGTCTCCACCCTCCATCCTTCTGGGTAGACTGGTGTTCTTGGGACTCTGATTGTTTTGTGAGTCTGGGTGTTTAGTTAATCCTAAATCCCTAGAGAGTATTGAACTAGTATAATTTTACAGTTTTTAATTTTATTTCCAAAATGAGAAAAATAATAATTTTACTTTATGTTAATCAGTTAATTCATTTCATTTTATCAATTATTGGGGAAGAGCATTAGATTATGAGTCAGGACACACAGCTTTTAGTCCTAGTTTTTCAGTAATGGATTATGTTACCTTTGGCAAGTACTTAATCACTCTGAAGTTCAATTTTCTTAAGTATCATAATAAATTTGACTAATATCATTTCTGATGTCCCTTACAATTCTAAATCCTATAGTTCCCTTATTCTCGTATCATAAGTTAATTTTTAATCCTCTTATATAGGAGGGGAGCCCTGGTGGTGCAGTGGTTAAGAGCTATGGCTGCTAACCAAAAGATCTGCAGTTCAGATCCATCAGCCGCTCCTTGGAAACTCCATGGGGCAGTTCTGCTCTGTCCTGTAGGGTCACTGTGAGTCAGAATTGACTCAATGGCAACGGGTTTGGTTTGGTTTTTGGCTTATATAGGAGCATTCCACATTTCTTTTAGCCTGGCAGATTATTAGATACCTGAAAGTCTAAGATACTATACTGTACATTCTTCCAAACTTAGGTTTTGGAAAAAACAAAACCAAACCCATTGCCATCGAGATTTTGGAAAGCTTATGATATTATAGCTGCATAGTTCCAAAAGACATTTGCTACCTATGCAATAGAATTTAAGGAATTAATTTAAATAAAAAATACCTGAGAAACTTTTGGAGGGGAAAAGCAATTAGAATGTGTGTTTGACAAGCTTTTGATTAATTTAAAATTTTTATCCCAACTTTCGTTTATAGGTTGTGAACTGGCTTGAAGGGCCTGGATCAGAACAACTAAGAGCCCAGTGGGGGATTGGAGACTCCATTAGGGCTTCACAGGCCCTGCAGCAGAAGCACGAAGAGATCGAGAGTCAGCACAGTGTGAGAGGCTTTTTCCTATGCAAGTTACAATGCTGTATTAATGTGCATAATTAGTAGTATATTTGTAGTGAGAAGTTGCTATAAACTTTGTAATAGTAGCATAAAGCACAGCATTTTAATGTTTAAGGGCTGTAAAGTGTACTTTGACCAATTAGTACGTGTTCGTTAGAAGGTTGGGTTTGGTTTTACCTCCAATACAGTTAATTATATATTTTTATCAAAATGAATTGGTATGAAATTTTAAAGGCTATTGTTACAGAAGAAAGAATGATAGGACAAAAATAAAGCTTTCATCTGTAGTTCATGAGACTGAAACTATGATTCTTTAGTCCTCAGAGAGGCCCTTCCCTGCTTTGTTGGAAGGGTATGCCAGTTGCTGTCAAGTCAGCTCCAACTCATGGCGACTCTGTGTGTCAGAGTAGAACTGTGTTCCATAGGATTTTCAGTGGCTGTTGTTTTGGAAGTATACCACCAGGCCTTTCTTCTGAGGCCTCTGAGTGGACTCGAACCTCCAGCCTTCCAGTTAGCAGCCAAGCTCTTAACTGTTGTGCCACCCAGGGATGCCATACTAGAATTAACTTGAGAGTAATACCAGAATTGGTGCATTTAACATAATTGATGGAGAGTGAGTACAGAAGGTTCAGAATGTTTTTCCATTCTCTCTGCATTTAGGGGTTCACATTTGTGATTGTGAAGGAGATAAACAAATACCAGATATGAAACTGAGAAATAAATTAATTCACAGGCAGATTTTAGATAATAGTTGTTTGAGAAGGTTTAAAACTTATTATATGGAGGAAATGGATATTTGTTAAGCTCTTGCTTAACTCTTCATTATTTAGAAACGATCATCCTTCCAGTTTGTGGATTAATTAACTTCTCACTTCCAAGTCACATTACTTATGTTAATTTTAAATAAGATTAAACAGAAAATTGGAAAAATAAAACTTGGATCCATTAATTTCTATTTCCTTAGGTTATCTGTCTTACAGATTGGTCAATAACAATGTTAAACTCTGGGCCCAGATGAGTTTTAAGGATTGGAACATTCTATTTCTGCAGTATTTTTTCTTTCCCCATCAACTACCTCAGTTAAAGTAGTAGTGAAAATTTGGGTAGTGTTAGTAACTAGATATATTTTAACTAAATAAGATTAAAGAATAAAAATTAAATATTCTTTTCTTGAGAATAAATTTGAATTTTACTAAAGATGTATTTTAACAACATGACATGATTATTTTCCTTCTGATTGATTTTCTTATGTTGCTTTTCTTTATAATATCCTCCATATCAGCTTTAAAAATCAGCAGTGTTGGCAGATAATCTACGCACTGTACCCTAAAGGAGTTGTAATCTAGCTGAGGGAATAATGTGTAAGAAAGAGGTATCACAAGATATGGAATTATCTATAGATAGTATATATATAGTCCTTGTAATTTTCCTAATTAGTATTTGTAAGAGACTTAAAAAATGAAATCTTGTAATTTGAAAATCTATATATTTCATGCATTTGTCAGGTTCCAACATAGCGGTTCTTTCTATTACGCTAAAACAATTGTATTAACTAATTTATATCTAATTTATAACCCCCTTGACTTTTCTTGGTACTTTTAAAATAAGTGTTGCTTATGTTTTTGACATGGATTGTGCTTTAGTTGAACCCAATGGATTGTTCTGGGGCATGTTTCTATAGTACAGCTGTATTCTCTAATTTGTCCCCCACTTCCCATGAGTCTGGGTCAAATTGATGGTAACTGTTTTTTGTTCGTTTTTCATTTTCTTTAAACCATTATTTACTGTAAAATATTCTAGACTTCATCTATGAGAATGTTATGCAAGTGTCCCAAAAGTTCTTTTATTGAAGATGTATGGCACATTAGGATCTTGAAGAGGATTCATCTTTATTTTGTTATTTTTTAAAGATATCAAAAGGAATAATTGTAGTTAAAAATTGGATGATATGCATATTGCATAGAAGTTCATAAAAATTTTAAAGTTCACAAAAATTTTTTTTATTGCATACAGATAAACGGATAAAATTACAACTGGTATACATACATGTTTTAGATGCTTGTTTTTGTATTTCTATCATATTTATAAGATTGTTAGATCAGCTTAAAGAAGTAATCAATATAAAATTATAAAACTTTTGAATTGGAAGTTAGAGGTCATTAGAACTTATAGCTCATTCTAATACCACCACCTTATTTTATAGTTGAAGAAACTTGGGAGACTACATTTTTTGATAAGTAACTGGACTAGGATTAAAGCATGGATCACTGATACCCAGTTGAGATCATTTCTGTCTCTGAGAAATCTACTAAATTTCATAGATATGCTTAAAATAAGTCATTTTTCCATTCTTATATCCCTAATAACTGGGACATATGCACATATATTGAGGTCTGCATTCATATACATGGTCTGCAAAGAAAAGAAACATCAGTGGCTTATCATGAATTTCTTACTTTTTTTTTTCAAAATTGGGAGGGGTGGACAGAGTGGATGGGGGGGGGGTAATAGATTAAACCGGATGGGGGCCATAAGTTGATAATTATTAAAGTTGGATGGTACATGGGGTTTTGTTACTTTTTAATACGTTTGAAATGTTCTAAAAGGTGTAAAAGAGAATTGCTTTAACCAATAGGTGGCACTGCATTGTTACCTTGGGAGTAGGTTGTTTGATGGTGGATTGAATGTATTAGTTTATCAGTTTAAGATGTTCTGATATTTTGTTAAGAGCTTTTTTTAAATCAAAAGCTTTGTTTTTGTAAATAAAAGTCAACACTTTAAAACATTTATTGGAATTGTTCAGGTCTGACAAAATTATGAGATAAATTTCTAGAATACTGATAGGGTAAAATTTGGAAAAACTTTTTAACATACCATTTTGTGTTAAAGTACTCTTTTATGTATTAAATCTGAGATTCCTCATAAAAACATAATGCGGAAATAAAGCTAAAAACAAGTGCAAATTTATTAGTATATTCAGTGCTAATATATAGAAAATGAAACTCCTACTAATGTGTATTTGTTAAGGAGTGTAAATTAGAAGCTGTTTGGTTTTTGAATACTGGATAAGCACAACAGAAAAAAAATATTAAGGTACATGGAAATGATGATAGTAACTGACAGTAAATTTAAAAGTATTTTAATTTAATAATAAATCTAATTTTATCGTTTGGGTGGGGGTAAGTGGGTGACAGGAACATGCAGGAACTTAAGTCTCTGAAGCAGGTATAGGGTTCTGCTGGTGTACTGTGCCCAATAGTAAGCAGTAGAAAGGGTCTACATGAAAAATCAAAAGTTATTTCTCCCCAGCATATTTACTTTTTTAGCCTAAGTGTTTTGACAACATTACTTTTCTTTTAGATTGGGTTTCTCATCTCATGGTATAAATACCCATCGTTTCACCAGCTATGCTTCTCCGCCAACTCCAGTGTCAATCCTGACTGCCTCTGTCCTGATACGTGAACATTCAAACTCATTTCTTATCTACTGTCCTAATCTAAAATCTGGATGTTGATTTTTTTATTTTTCCATAAAATAATGATTTCCCACATAGTTAAATATGCATCAACACAGATGGGATAGCAGCCATAACTCTTCTGAATGCAGTCTGTTCACCTAAAGGTTTACGCATTCCCTGTTCCCCTGTTTCCAGGGAAGAAGCATTTTAATTAATTTTAAGTTAGGTCTTTACAAAAGGACTGCCTGCATAGTCCTCTTCTGCCCACCAGCCACCCAAGGCTGGAGTCTTTCACAAGTTAGGACTCTCTCCTTCTAATCAACCGCCAAATAGGCAGGTGCCAGGTTCTGCTGGCCCTCACTGCCCTGGTTTATTCGATAATTCACTAGAATGACTTACAGAATTCATGGAAAGGGGTGTGTTCACTAACCTTTTAAATATAACAACAAAAGGATATGCATGAAGAGATGAGGTCTGGGAGTAGTTTTCAGCACCAGGCGTTTCATGTCCCCAGAGACATGCTGGTCTTCCCATGTGCATCATCAATCCAGAAGCTCAAAAGGAAGCTCCAAAGTCTGGGGTCCTTTATAATAGTTATTGGTGCCTCAATGTATATGCATGAGTGGGTCCTTAATGCACAGTCAGTGATTGATTGAATCACTGAATATGCATGACTGATTACATCATACCCACTGCCGTTGAGTCAATTTTGACTCACAGCAAGCCTATAGGACAGTATAACTGCCCCATAGGGTTTCCAAGGCTGTAATTTTCACAGAAGCAGACTGCTACATCCTTCTCCTGCAGAGCGGCTGGTGGGTTGAAACTGGCAACCTTTAGGTTAGCAGCCGAGCGCTTAGCCACTACGCCACAAGGGCTCTTTGATTCCATCATGCCTATTCCCCCGTTTTTCCTGAAGCTGGTTGGCCAGGTATGATCCATGGGCTCCCTGCTTGTTTGCACTTAAATGTTGCCTGGCTGTTTTAGAAAAACAAAGACTGCTTGGATTGCTGAGGGAATTCCAAGGGCAATTTTTTGAAACCAGAGACAAAGGGACAAATCAAGTTCTTTATCCCACAATATATGTCAAAGGAGATGTGGTTTTTGAGAGAAGTGGGAAAAGAAATGGTCTCGAAGTAGTAAGGAGGAGTGAGGAGACCATCCACACACCACTTCCAGGCTTGTGGTATGTCAGGTGTGGAAACGAGAACAACAGTCACTAGAGAGGGTTGCGGGAGTGCTGCTTTCTCTGAGGGGAGACAGACTTCACTTAGAGCAAGAAAGAGAAGGGGACATTTAGAGGCCAGGACAAGGATATAGGAGATTTTGCTGTGGGCAGGATGAGGATATAGGAGATTTTGCTGTTGGCAGGCTGTGTGTTCTGGGGATCACGGTTGGAGGGTTTGGGAGTTGGGAAGTTTTGGTTGTCAGTTTAAATAATTTTGCCTTAGAAAATTTTTCACAAATGTTACACAGTTTATCTGGAGCAAATATGAAATTTAATGTAGTCCTCTAGGAACTAATTTGATCCTTCATGTACTTGGCCACTTCTCAATTACAGGAATGGTTTGCAGTATATGTGGAGCTTAATCACCAGATTGCAGCACTCTTGAATGCTGGGGATGAAGAAGACCTTGTGGAGCTGAAGTCACTGCAGCAGCAACTTAGTGATGTTTGTTATCGGCAAGCCAGTCAGCTGGAGTTTAGGCAAAATCTGTTACAAGCAGCTCTTGAATTTCATGGGGTTGCGCAAGATGTAAGTGTCTACCCTGATTGCTTTTCTTTTCTTCAAATTATCTGAACCTGTATCTACAAATAATTTTTGCAGGTTTGCATGCCTCCTAATTATTTTTCTGGAACAGTAAAATCATTTATTGGTGGGGGAAATGAGATAAGATCCTTTATTTTTTTAATTTTTATTTTTAAATCATTCTGCATGCATTTAAGCATTCTGTTTTCTAGATAGTGTGTCCCAACCTAGTAGATGTATTTCATTTTGGCTGTTTGTCGATGTTTATGCTGTATAACACAGATTGAAATAGGAGTTTCAATATTTTTTTCCATTCTCCTGACCTGGACACACTTTTGTCTTCCTGATGCATGCATCTGCGTATTCTGTCTTTCAGATAACATGTATTCTAATTATTCGTCCTTGTCTTCTAACTGCTTAGTCTTTTCAAGTACAGTTGTGATAACCTCATTAGATATAAACCTCATTAATCATGAAACACTTCAGATGCTGATTACATCAGGGTTATCTCTTTGGTGTCCCTCTGCTTTAGTTGTCTCAGCAGTTGGATGGCTTATTAGGGATGTTGTGCGTAGATGTAGCACCAGCTGATGGAGCATCGATTCAGCAGACTTTAAAACTGCTTGAAGAGAAGCTGAAAAGTGTTGGTAAGCAGATTTTAAAAATGCTGAAACATAAGGGTTTTTTTTTTTTTTTTTAAGATATCATTACTGTGGTTAGATAAGTCAACTTACACTGAAATAGTTGTAATTACAAGGAAAAAAATACTGTAAAAGGTTTTAGTGTTTTTAGTGTAAAAAAAGATTTTTAGTGTAAAAGTGTTTTAGTCCCTAGAAGGGAATATGGTTTATGCTAAAACGTTTATTTTTCATTGTTGATCAGTCTTTCCTTCATTGGACTTTAGCTTTTCTTGTTTACCCAGCTGTATCTACAGGTGCTATGTCTTGCATATACTATGAACAATTATTTCTAGTGCATGCATAAACTGTAATTAGCTGTGAAGTGTTCTGTGGTAAACCCTGTATGACAAAAAAACGTGTTTTATGCAATGATTTTTGTTGTTGCTAAATCCTAACCTTGTGAAAAAATAGTTTGTTTGGTTCTATGCGTTTGCTTCTCCAGGCTGGGAATACTGCCAAGGTTACATACTCTCCAAGAGGAGGATGGTCCAGTTCGTTAAGCTAGTTCTGTCATTTAACAGCAAGGCCTTTTAATCTTTTCTGGAGTAGGAAATACAGTGAACTTTCCTAGATCATGACTGGAGTGATTGATAGTGGGTGTGAAAATGGGAAAACCAAAAAAAACCCACTGCCGTCAAGTCAATTCAGACTCATAGCGAGACCATTTTAGAACAGAGTAGAACTGTCCGTTAGGGTTTCCAAGGAGTGCCTGGTGGATTCGAACTGCTGACCTTTTGGTTAGCAGCTGTAGCTCTTAATCACTATGCCACCAGGGTTTCCGTGAAAGTGGGAAGAGGGGTTGCATTGAGGGGGAGTGGGAGGGCAAAGGAGAGATAGAGAAGAGGAGGCAGGAATTTAAGGCAGAGAATTAGTAGCAAGTGGTGATACGTGATTGAACTAAACTAATTAATTATTGAAAAGGACTTTAGAGAATTAGTTTGAAAAATCATATTTGATCTGGAATTTATACTTGCTTGTGGCTTTTGTATTTTAACAGATGATATGCATAATACGTATATAGTATTTAATATGGCAAATGATATTTTTAGCTATCAGTAGTTCTCCTGAGTTACACTTTTCCTTTAAAAAAGAAAAAAGAATTCCTGTGTACATACCTAATTTGAAGTATTATAAACATATCCTAAATATCACTTCACATGGCGGGTAAGCTGAAACAGTGCCTGTACTCAAAATGTTCAGCACCCTTTTACATTGATGGTACACTGCATGAGTGCTTTAAAATCTTGCAGCTGTTGTGCTTTTTCTTGCTTTGCTTTTGAAAGTATGGTGAATTAAGTACAAGTCCTTTCAAAACTTGAAGATGGAACAGGAGATAAGAATATTTGCTTAGCAGCATTAAAACTTTACACAAGATCAGTTTTTTATTTTAAACAAAATATTTGCTATATTCTCCTAAAAGTTGAACTATATAAAAGCAGAAATGGGAAATGCTGAAAAATCTTACTAGTAAAGATAGAAATTCTCATATTTTCTTCCTGCTTTCAGTTTTTAAAAGTAATTATTATCTATGTAAATTCACCTTTTGGAAATTCTCCTTAGGGAGAAATTTGGCATGCGAGAGAGCTCCAGCTTGAGCCACATTTAAAGGAGTTTTATTGCTTGACATGTTCAGAGGACTCCATCCTAAGACAGTTTTAATATACGGACCTGTTCTTGAAATCTAAGTGCAGTATGTGCTGAGAGGATTTATTTGAGGGAGAGCACATTAATTGTGTAAGAGATTAAATCTAATAACTTTTGTTTTTTTAGATGTGGGATTGCAAGGGTTACGTGAAAAAGGTCAAGGTCTTTTGGATCAGATCTCCAATCAGGCGTCCTGGGCCTATGGAAAGGATGTAACCATTGAAAATAAAGAAAACGTGGACCACATACAAGGAGTGATGGAAGATATGCAGCTTAGGAAACAAAGGCAAAGTTTGACTATTAGTGTTAATTTTTACTAAGAAAACATGATATTAATTAAAATTTAAAGTTATATACTATAATTTATACTTTTACATACAAACTAAAATTTCTTATGGTACATAGTAGCATATGATAGGCTTGGTGAATATAATAACTATTCTGTGTAGTTATACTAACAAATAATGATAATTTGTTTAATTAATGGGTAACTTTTTCCGTTTTATTCAGTAGTAAACATTTCAGTTATACTTAAATACTTCACATTTCATATTCCCAATGTAGCTTGTGATTCTTTTCTGCTTTAAGAAAATTCTTTTGAGAACTTCACTCTTCCATTTTCATTTGGTTTAGAATTGCTATTAAATCTATCATCTCCATTGATCTGTTTTTTCATTTAAACGTCTCACTCACAAAGTCATACATTGTTTTCATTTTTGCTGTAGAAGGATTAGACAAATGGACTCTGTGTAAGATGGTGGTTTGCTTCATTTGATATAGAACTAGGAGTTTAAAGGATTCTTTAAAAAGTCAATTTGCAGTTTAAAAAAATCCCAACCGGTTGCCATCAAGTCAATTCCAACTCATGGCGACCACACATGTGTCAAAGTAGAACTGTACTCCACGGGGTTTTCAATGGCTGATCTTTTGGAAGTAGATCACCAGGCCTCTTTCCAAGTGCCACTAGGTAGATTTGATCCCCGACCTTCAGTTAATACCAGAGCGTGTAACTTTTTGCGCCACCCAGGGTCACCTCAATTTGCTATACCAACTGCAAAATATTGCAAAGTGAAGGATTAAAATCATCTATGCACAAATGCTTGCTCTAGTAGCATGGTCATATGAAACTTTTGCATACTTACAAACTGTAAAGTCATCAACAGAACCTCACAGAAACTCTTCTCCTAAATCACAGAGAAAATAGTCATCAGGCAGAAATTCCTTCTGTATTCTATTCTCATATCTGCAATCTTATCCATTTCATTATTTCTTCTTGTCTGCTATGATGAGATAGCTCTCCTTTTATGAAAGCAAATCTTTCCATGCCATCACCCTCCTGGCTCCTTACTCCATCGGTTCCCACTCTCTACGCTGATCCCATCTCCTCATCCAAATGCTTACGTCTCTCTTTAAAAGGATAAAAAATGACGTGCAGGCATACATCTTCCTCTTCAACCCTTTGTTTCTAGCCTCACAGCTCTCCTTCCTCCACAGCCAAGTCATTTGAAGGTCTAATCTACATTCATACTACTACTTCACTACCTCAGGTTCACTTTTCAACCTTTTTTGGTCTGACTTCTTGAGCCCTCACCATTTCACTACATTTGTTCTTTCTGATGTCACCAGTGACTTTTGCCAAATTTAATAAATGTTTGATCTTGCTCAAAATCCAGTGAATACTTTTAGTCCCGACCTTATTTAACGACCCTGAGTAGGATTAGATACAACTGCCTTTTTCTTTCTTGTTCAAACTCCCTGACATCCTTGTCTTCCTTGAGAACACCCTCATGATCTCTCTCCTGGCACTGTTTCTCCTTGGTTTTCTTCACTGATGTCTTATCATTTAAGCAGTGTGAGGCTTCCAGGGTTTGTTCCAAAGCCAGCTTCTTTTCTCATTTTACCTATGTGTTCTCCCTGGACAATCTCACTACTTTAATTTTTTTTATTATGATCATGATTTTATAGTTACAGCTCTGACCCAGAGCCCTGTCCTGTGCTCTAGACTTACAATTCCAGTTGCCTACTGAGTGTCTTCACCTGGATACCCCATATACTTCTCAAGTCCAGTATGTCTATATTGGAATCATCTTGCTCCAAAACTTGCTCTTCTTTAATTTCCTATCTAGGTTAAAGATAGCCCGGCTACCAAACTTGGGATTTATCCTAAATCTTTCGTCTCCATCATCTTTTACAGCCTAATCAAATGTCCAAGTTCTGCTGTCTCTGAACATTTCTTTGTTCAAGATCTTATCTCTTATCAGCCTTGGCCTCCTCCTCTCCAGTCTGTTGTACAGGAGAGTAATCTTTGTAAAGTGCACATCTGATCACATCACTTCCTTGTATAAAACCTTCTCGATGACTTCCTGTTTTCTCAGATGGAGTTCAGTCTCTGAATAGTGTACGAGACCATTCACAGTACAATCCTGCATAATCTTATCTAACTATCTCATAGAACCACACAGCTGTTTTCATTTTCCTGAATGCATCATCTACTTCATGCATCCATAACTTAGAATACTTCTTTCCTCATTTTCTGCCTAGTGGATTCCCTACTTCCAGGTTCAGGGATACTTATTCGAGAAAGCCTTTTTGAAATTTCCAAGTCAAGTTAGTCACTCACCTTTTCCTATTCCATAAAACCTTTTATATATCTCCATAATAACTTTTATCATAAGATACTGTCATTGTTTACTTAAAACTCCATCCTTCAGAATGGTGAGCATCTTAATAGTAGAGACTATGTCGTATTTTTTCCCCAGCACATTATCCAGTGGCTGACGTGTAATATATGTTGAATATATGTATTAGCTCATCATCATCATTAAAGTTTCTTCTGTGTTTTTTTAGTATCAGATTTTTTAAGTAATTATCATCACTTCCCTCAACTCCTTGTAGAATTACTTACATTAAGTTACACTTTAACATTATGCCATAGGCTCTTATTGAGGGCATCCTGATAAGAAATAACCTTGTGATAACCACTTCTGCACTGTTATCAAGCTTTCTTGAGGACATTGACTATAGTGGAGCCCAGTACCTTCTGGGTAACTTGTTGTTGGTATTTGAGACTACAGTGAGATTTCCTCTTCCCACTTAAAAACATGGAATTGCATGGGAATGAAGAAAAGGAAACAGAGCTGAGTTAGGTCAGATCACCTTAAAAGTTTAATCTGTGTGTTATAGAGGCAGGCCACAGTGGAACTAAGAAAATATTCTGAATTATGTTTCTCTATACCCAGAGATCAAGAACACAGATGGAGTTTTAATTTTTTATTCAGAATTAAATATTATTCTGGGTAATAAAATATAATGAAAAATGTTAATTTAAAAAACATTTCTTTGTAACATCAACCTCTAAATTAGTATTTGAGAAACTTCACATTTTTATTTTTGAAGTTCATTTAATGCAAATTGGCAACAGATTTCTTTGGGTTTTAGTGTACTGTTGTGTTTATGCTTTGCTTCAATATTTTGCAGAATCCATGCTATCCTCAAGAGGGTTTGTGATTCAGTATCATTCAGGTATTTTGAGGTTTTAATGTAGCATAGATCTAGATATAGATATTCTTAAAATTCTTACAATACAACATAGTTGCAGTCTCCATAGTATAGGACTAAGTATTTTAGTATACAGTATAGTATGGCTCTGTGTATGCATACCAGACATAAGGGTTATCAACAAACTGAAAATAATGTCCTAAATGTATGTTTGGGCTTATTAGATGTGAAGACATGGTAGATGTGCGAAGGTTAAAGATGCTTCAGATGGTGCAGTTGTTTAAATGTGAAGAAGATGCTGCTCAGGTAAGACTCAGTCATCCATATTACGTAGCTGTCATTTCATAAAAGATTAATTTCATCTTACTATAAACAAAAATGATATTTTTTCCATGGTCCTGAGAAAATAAATTCATTAAGTCAAATTCTAGTTTATTCTGTTGAAGTAATAAAATTTTGTATTACCAGTCAGCTTATTGGCCTCGTTTGACTTATCTTCCTGATGAAATCCTCTCTTGAGCTAGAATTGAGATTGTTTATTATTTATTGTTGACTTGGTTGTCAGTTACATCTCAGTATAAAGGCTGGTGTAGCACAATGCTTTTTAACCCACAAGAGGTCTTTTCAATGCCAGATAAACAATTTGATATCTTTGTGAAATTAGGATCAGAGAATGTCATTTCAGTTTGATGTAGAGGAAGTTTCTGATTTTATATAGTACCAAAAATCTGTAATGAGATCCCAACAGATCTATTGTACAGAAACACATAACCTTCTATTAATTTAAGTCATGTGATAGTAGTTTTTTAAGAGTGCTTGTCTTAGTATGTCTTCTCTTCAATTTAAAAAATTTTGGGGGAGGAAAAGGTTATTAATTCATGTAGCTTGACATTCAATGAAATAAACCATTAAGAACTAGGTTACAGTTAGTGGATTAATCACATGATAGTAATCTTTCTTTTTATAAATATGTTGTTTGATACGATAAGTAAAGAGTTATGAATGTGGCATCACTGTTACTTTTTTTCATTTAGGCAGTAGAATGGCTAAGTGAACTTCTGGATGCTCTGCTTAAGACCCACATCAGATTGGGCGATGACGCTCAGGAAACAAAAGTTCTACTGGAAAAGCATAGAAAATTTGTTGATGTTGCACAGGTGCAGAACTGGTTATCTTCCTTTTCTACAGGCTCAGTGTTTGAATAACTTTCTGCATGATTATAATGTAACTTAACCCTTCAAGTCAAAGAAGGTTAGTTTTGTTATTCCAGAAATATCACAGCATTGAGAAAGTGTCACCTGGTACATCAAAACTAGCCTGCATAAACTTGAGAGGGTTATGTTTCCCTGAATACAGGTTCTGTGTGCTCCTTCTGAATTATGTTATATATCATTGCATATTTGGGGCAATCCAACTGTTCTTTCATGGAAGTTAATGTGACATACATGTTAACAACAGTAAATAAAAAATCCCAGTTTCTGCCCCTCACCAATGTTAGTATAATAGTTCTTAATTGTTTTTGTGGTGAATGTATCTTAATTCATTTTCCCTAATAATTGAGTTCATGGTGTAACAGTTGTGGTTTCCTATATGGAGTACAAAGTACCTAATTTCCCCTACCTGTTTTATTAATTGAAGGAGCCCTGGTGGCGCGGTGGTTAAGCACTTGGCTGCTAACTGAAAGGTCAGCGGTTTGAACCCACCAGCCGTTCCGGGGGAGAAAAATGTGGCAGTCTGCTTCCGTAAAGATTACAACCTTGGAAACCCTATGGGGAAGTTCTACTCTGTCCTGTAGGGTCACTATGAGTCAGAATCGACTTGACAGCAATGGGTTTGTTTTTTTGTTGTGGTTTTATTAATTAGTGAGGAGATATTCTTTTTGGCCAGTGGAATTGAGCAGACTGCAATGGGTAAAACATAATAAGAGGAGGAAGCCTAGCAAGAAAGAAACATTATAAACCAACTAAAAATATTGCTTCCTCTTCATTATTTATGTCTACAGATAATCTGTAGTAATAAGTGCCCCTGCATGCAGCACTGATTTCTAGTAATGTTAACTTAATTGCAACCACAGTCCTCCTCCATACTTTCCTTATCCTTCATTTCTGAATTCTTTTATTATAATTTCATGTTGATGTTTTCTTTTTTAGAGCACTTATGACTATGGAAGACAGTTGCTACAGGCCACAGTTGTGTTATGCCAATCTTTGCGCTGCACTTCTCGATCATCTGGGGATACGCTTCCTCGACTGAACAGAGTATGGAAACAGTTTACGATAGCATCTGAAGAGAGAGTACATAGATTGGAAATGGCTATTGCATTTCACTCAAATGCTGAAAAGGTTCATTTTTTTTTTTTTTTAATGTAATCTCAATAGTATTTACTGTATATAGTATAAAAATATATTCTGCTTAATATAGGTATATTTAAGGTACTTTAATTTTAATAATGTGATGGTGTGATTATTAATCTGTTTTTTTCCTGATTTATATTAGTTCCATTATTCAAAGTTTGTTTAGCTGTAATATATTGTCTTGGATAGTTCAAATCAAATTTTCTTAATAACTGATACCAATGCTGGAATACTGAGGTTAGAGAAATCCAGAACCATCTGGTAGTCTTTCTCTACGTTGCTCTACCCTCACCCAGCCCGATGCACAGAATGTGCTCTTTATTCCGTAGGGTATCATGACTTTGGTCTCTTTCATTATGCCAGGAAAATAAGTTCTGCTTCAGCAACTACTACTGATTGTCACAATGTTTAAAAAATGGCAGTTTGTGATTATAGAATGTTAGAGATTGCTCAACTAAAATAAAGATAAAAATAAAACTTTTTTTTAATGTAGTTTCTTTGGAGATTCATTCCAAAATTTACTATTCAATGAATTCAAGTTATCATTCCTAGAATCCAAAAATGAAATATGCAGTGTTATTTGGGCAGATTTTCAATAGAACCTTTTTCTTAATCTGCACAGTGAGAATTTATAGCATCTAAGCCTTCATTCTGAATAGGAGCTTTGTTATGTAGTTAACCTTGCTTTGATCTCTTACAGTGAAAGTTTACATTTAGGAGATATTTAATATAATTTAACATATTACAAATCTAAGTTGTAAACATGATAACACGGACTGTAGAATAGAACAGATGTTATACGGTGAACCTCAGAAATTAAGCAATTTCTGTGTTATAGAGTTTATCTGTTGAGAAGTGTGCATAGTTAAATCTTTCTGAGCTGGTCACTGAACTTTTGCAGATCAGTATTTTGGTCTAAAATGAGCCTAATAATGATGAATGAAAGTATACAAGATGGCTCAAGTTGTTTATCTATTGTTTTTTTTTTTTTTTTTTTTTTTTTTAGTGAAAACTTTCTGTTGAAGTATATTAACACAGAAAAGTGTTAATATCACAGATCATGAGTGTTATGCTCGATGAATTTTCATCGTGAATTTTCAAAGTGAACACACCTCTTTAATCAGTATAATGTTGAAGCTGCAGAATGTTACCAGAAGCTCCACCCCCACCGTCTTCTAGTCACCCTCTCCCACTCCCTCCCCTCCTGTCCAAGCATGACCACTGATCTGATTTCTAATACCACTGATAACTTTTAGGGTACTGCTTTTTAAATGTATCTGCAAGGACATTTTAAAACCTAGAACTCTTTAAGAGGTCATGGTTGAGAATTTTTAATACAAAATTAATGTTTATTTTTTCTGCCATATGGCCTTTTTCATGCTTATAATAAATTTGATTTAAGCTTATTATACTGTGCAAATCTATGTAAAGCCTTTTTTCTTTTTGTTTTACCAAATACTATTTTCCTTTTGGGAGAATATCTAAATTTAATTTAGAATTTTAAAATATAATTAAACTGTCCATTTATGAATAATGCTGTAATAAACATGATTGAATTGTTAAATAAAGTGTAATGCAAAAAAAGTTACAAACAGAAATAGTTCTTTTTTTTCTTCTCTAAATTTTGCATTTATTTCTTATGGTTAAATTTAAATCATAATAGTTAGGGGAAAATAATAGTATCTCATCAAGGACTGTAGAGCTTCTGTACTTGAATTATAACCTGATTAGTTTACATGAGTAATTTAAGTCAACAGATCAGTTTTTAAAATAGCTGTTAAAGTATCTAGCTAGGTAGGTCATCACATCTGTTATGTATTTGTACTCTGAGTTAAAAAATATTTTCTTTCATTTTTGAAAGTCTAAAAGCTCCTTAAGGACAGAATCTGGATCATTCATATCCTAAGCTGTTAAATAAACATAGTAAATGTTCAGTAAATGGTTGTTTGATGAATGAAAGAATACTTCTTAAGCTCAAGTTGAGCTTACTTTCTAAACAGTAGTCTAGTATTTTTTCTTAGAAATCACCATAGACCTTTGCCTACTCCAGTTTTATATTTTTAGTAGAAATTATACATTGATTTAGTTGTTTGAATTTCTTGAGCCTACTTTGCCAGTAATAGCTCATTCTTATACAGTGGTGTTCATGAAGATGCTAAAAACAAAACAAGACAACGCCTTCAATCTACTGGATTTGCAAGAGCTTGATTCCCCTTCAATTTCTCTTGATTGGTGTTGCCCTTTTATTTGTTGCAGATTTTGCAAGACTGTCCAGAAGAGCCTGAAGCTATTAATGACGAGGAGCAATTTGATGAAATTGAAGCAGTTGGGAAATCACTTCTGGATAGATTAACTGTTCCTGTAGTTTATCCTGATGGGTATGGTGCATGTTCTTCTAATAGTCTTGTGAGATCTGAAAGTAAAATCATTAAGAGAGGAAAGTCTGTTGTTTTAAAAAGCCACGTAAATTAGCTTTGGTCCATGTTTTCAATTCCTACAATAAATTGGTTTAAAATGAAAATAAATCCAAACCTGGCTGTTAGGAACAGTAACAGTTGGTACTTGATGACATCAGATAATTGCGTGTTAACAGTTTGTTGTAGAATAAAGATAATTGACTAGATAGATTGAGACACTGGGTGTTCTAGTGTGACATTGGCCAGGTTTAGTACCTCTTTAGGCTTCAGGAAAGGGACTAATGTTTAGTGAGCTCGTAATATATACCAAGCATTGGGTTAAATATTGCACCTTTTGAACTATTATTATTATTCCTGATTCACAAATGAAGACATTGAAGCTCAGGAAGATTGAGTGAGGTGCTCAGGCTTTCACAGCTTATTAGTGTTGGAGTTAAGATACAGTCTCAGGTCTGAGTGTCTCCAAACCCATTCTCTTTTCACTGTCCCCTATGGCATCCTAATTTCTTCATTTGTAAAACGATGGAGTCCTGATGCCATGTTTCCTTCCATTTCAAATATTCGATTGTAAAAATTTGAAACAATCTGATACAAAATAATTGGGCCAGTAAAAAGAATCAAAAGGAGCTTCATCCCTGAGGATCTAGACCATCTCAGTGAAAATAATTTAGAGTTAATCCAGAGGATAGGTGATTCAAATGATAGAGAATGCAAACCAATGAATAAAAATACGACTATCTTTACGTTGTGTTATAGAGTAATGGATAAGAGTGTGGATTCTGGAATGAGACTTCTTGAGTTTAAATCTCAGCTCCACCCCCTTAACCTTTCTATGTCTCAATTTCCTCATCTAAAAGTAGACATAAATACTCCTACCTCATCAGGTTATAAGGATGAGGGATGGGGATTAAATGAGCTAAATGTATATGAAGTACTTAAAGCATATGTGATACATAGTAAGCACTTCTGTTGTGTAATGAACTCCAAATGTTTGTGTGGAATTGACTATGAGAAATTATAATTTTATTTCCTGGAGAGAACATAGTCCATCTTAGATGATCTGTAGTCATTCCTAAACTTGAGCAATCAAAAGTAGTCTGAATTCATGTTATACCTCTGCAGTAAAAGGGAATAAAATCTCAAAATTCATAAATTCAACTAGTAACAATATTGCAGAGATGCTGCTGGTTGTTCCATTTCAGGATCACCCTGGTTCTACGTTTCACGGCCATTTGTCACAAAGCCAGTCTCTTATTCTACTCCGGGCAGCCTCTGAGCATCTATCCCTGGTATTTTTGCTTGGGATTTTCCTTCTGTGGTCCACAAATGGTCCATGTGTCATTTGCTCATACTTTCAAGATAAAAAAAAGTAAATTAGTGTTGTATTTTCAAATTTCACAAACACCTACCTTTAATATTTGGAACTGTTATTTTATTTCATCTTACACTCATACCAGAATTTAGGTTTATCTATTTTATTTTGCTAAATTAAATGTTTCTCAGATGTCTAATATGTTTTTCCTAATTATTAATATAATGATATTCTTTTATGTTATGTAAAGCTTGTTTGACAATATTATATTTTGTAAGGTTATTCATATTTATTTTTTGTACATTTTCTTGGTAAAATAAAATAAATAGAGTAGTCTCTCTGAATTCACTGCTTGAAGATGCAGGTTTAAATCCTGGTTTTTCTACTGTGTGATCTTAGTTAAGTCGTTTAGCTATCTAATCTTTAATTTTCTGATCTAAAAAATGAGGCAGCGAGCCAGATAATTTCCAAGAAATCTTCCAACTCTAAAAGACTGTGACTTGAACACAGTATCTTTGCTGGTAAAATAAAGTTAAATGATTTTATCTGTTACTGTCCCAAATGATGTCTTAACATTGAAAGGATGTTTTACTTGCCAGCTCTATGAGATAGTGGTGTGCATGGTGTATTTAAAGCACATGTGCAAATTTTATGTTTGTGAATGCTGTGGACCCAGAACTAAAAAGAATATCCTCAGCGTTGCCTTGTTCGGTTTATTGAGATTATCGTAAGTACACATGATACGACATAGTTACAGCACTAATACAGTTTTCTCAATGTGTCTTAACATATTTATGCCTTTAAAAAAAATGTTTTTCCTACTGAATTACTACTCAAAGTTTATGGTCTGGTAATGAACTAATTTCTAACACACAGACCATATCACTTAGATACTTTTTTAACTTTTGTTTCCTTTTGCATTTGCTACAGTTAATAAATTTGTGTTTTATCTGATTGGGGTTTTTCTGTTTGTTTTATTTTTAGAACTGAACAATATTTTGGGAGTCCAAGTGACATGGCTTCTACTGCAGAACACATCAGAGACAGGATGAAACTAGTTAGTCTCAAAAGGCAGCAGCTGAGCCATCCTGAAATGGTGACCACAGAGAGCTAATAGCTACCAGCTCCCCACAGATCTGCAGTTCATAATCCCGCATGTGGCTGGCATACTACAGCATTAGACACAATACATTAAGATGCATTTCACAGCCAAGATAAGCCTCATTTCTTCCTGTTATACATTTCTCTTTACATGTTAACACCTTGCAACTACCAAGGCATAATTATTTAACATGCTTTGAGACCACAGACTCCAATTATCTTAAAAGAAGAAATTATAAACATTGCACTGAAAACTTGCTTTAAAGCTTTATCTGACCTGATAGTTTATAGATGAACAACCGATAATAAGCTTTGAATGGTGCTAATAAAAGTTTAGGAGTTCTCTATAGAAATAATGGTTGCCCTTCCTCCCCAGGTGATGTAGTAAATTAGACTGTAGTTAAACTGTTATCAGGAGACAATGGTGTCCTCAAAATTTTACTTCGTAATTTTTCTTCAAAATTGATTATTTTTATTGTATTAATATGGAGAAAACCCTTCAGATCTTTGATATATTCATTAAAGACATTTTCTTATTTGTATTGATAATGTATGAAAAAGTGTTTTGTGCTTAATAAAAGATTTCTTTTAAATATCTTATTTAATTTGGTGGTTATATCCAGTTTCCAAACATGAGTGCCTTATTTGAAAGGGCATTCGTAGGATTTTTAGGTGGTTTAATTGTTTCTTCATGTTAGTTGCATGTGTTTTAGCCAGAAAATTCATATGTAAGCATGTGTATATAATAAATAAGCATGTTTTATCTTGAAAAATAGTTGTGAAGAACAATTTTGATCTTTAAGAACTTATTAATAGTGGAATAACTGTTTCTAATTTTTCTCTCTTTCAATTTAAAAAATATTATCCAAATTGTTAACTCCCCTGCAGGTACTTTGTTTTTGGGGAAGGAGGGCTGAGGAGGAAGGCATACATAATTACTTCAGTGTAATCCTTTATATCAGAGTAATTTTTCTGGAACTAAAATTGCAATTGTTAATACAATTTAATTCTCATGATAGTAGACTAGAGGCAAAATAAAATCTGAAGTAGTCTAATAACAAAAACTGTACTGTTCTTTAGAAATAAAATTTATCATAAAATAGTAGTGCTTTTAAGTTTATATTATGTTTAAATAGTAAAATACATACATATAATTTAATTTTAAAATTTTATTTCAGAAAATGTTTTTGAGAAAGATTTAAAAGAATTTTTTAAGTTCGTGTTATCAATATAAAATTATACGAAGAACTGTATGCTGATTCCTTTTTGTTGACATATAAATATGCTCACATATCCTCCAGTAGTACAAAAAACTTCCTGTGAACCTGCTGGTTTCTCTGGCCTTCCTCACTGCCAGACTGGCTTCTGGGAGAAATCCACATCCATTGTCCCTACATTCTCATCACTTACTGGTCAGTACCTAGCAGTTGGGTTTTACCCACACTCTAATGAAACTTTTCTTTGGAAAGTCATCAGTGGGCTCCTAGTTATCCAGTAGAATGATCTTTTTCTCAGTCTTCATTTCTTACCTTATCTATCTCTGCAGCTTTTACAGCACTGAGCAACCTTTCCTAGACAGTGTCTTCTCCCCTGAAGATGTTATCCTCTGCCGTAACTGTGGTTACAGTCTCATAACTCTTATTAAAATGTGCCTACTATGTGTTCTTACAGATTCTGTCCTCTAGACCTATAATTTCAATTGCCTACTTGACATTTCAACCTAGATGAAGGATTTATCATCTTTTTCCTCCTAGGGCAGCTTTGGTTAATGGTGCAGCCTTTTTTCTAGTCAAACATGCCAGAAAATCTGGGGGCAAAGTTCAGCTGCTCCCTCTTGTCTTATGCTGCCACTGTTTCTGAGAACATCCAAGAAGTTCTTTTTATACTTGATACATTCTCTGTCTTTTAGGGCTTAACTCCTATGAGTATGAACTCCTGTGATTCTTCATTTCAGTCTTCATGATGGTGCTAACCACATTCTACAGTTGTTTGTACCTGCTATATTAAGAGCTATTTTGAGGGCAAGGATCTTGTTCCAGTTTTTCTGTTCCTAGTCCTTTGTTTATGCACAGTAGGTGCTTAGTTCCCCTGTCTGAATGGTCTGTTGTAGGCATGAGTAATAATTCCCATCTTACTGGAGTCTGAAGTATGTTTTAAACCCTGTATTTATTTCCTAAATTTAGGATTGACTTATGAGTGAATCTACTCATAAGAAATTCATTTGGTAGTTTAGATATTTAGATACCAGCTACATTAGATATTTAGCTCTTATACTCAATATCTGTTTCTTATACTGAATTTCAAGTAGTTAGAATGTTTTCATTAAGATTGCTAGAATCAAACTGATTTGTTAGTCATGAGACTCTTAATTCCATCACCAACTCCCTGACGTATCTTTGTCAAATGAGTTAATTTTTATATAACTCAGGCTACCCTGCCTGTAAAAAGAGTAAAACAAGGCAACATCTAGAAATGTTATTTGTAAATTTGAGTTTTTCAGATGAAGCTGAACATACTTGTAAAATAATAAATGTTCTTGCTCTTCATCTGTAAATTTGCTGCTACTCACTTTAGGTGTATCTGTATATAAACAGGTATGAATAAAAACCCAACAATGCCATAATGTGTTTTCATCAGGTCATGGTGCACTTAGTATACATATGAAGGTTGTTCTTTGGTGACTTCAATCTGTTGAGACTACAGGCTGTTTCTGTTTCATAAACTAATATTGGTCTGAAACCATAATGGAGAAAGAACCACTCATTTCCGATTGGTACATACCACAACTTTCCACATTACTTTAGCCCATCTCAGGGAATTATTGACGTGTTGGTTGGTCAAGTTTTGTTTTGTTTTTTGGTCTTGTGAATTTGTTTTTTCTCTTGCCTTCTTACTATGTTTTTGCTCCTGTGTAACTCAATATATAACAACAGTTTTGGCATCTGTTCTTCACACTTGTGTAACCCAGCAGAGTCATAATGCAAAGATGATAACTTCATTTCAGATAAAATTGGTTTTATTCCCAGTCCTCATTGTTGATGACTTTGTTTGGCTAGTGTGACTTATTGGTGATATTGATGAAACTGCTCAGCCTGCCAGCTGGTATGTTGATGGCAGGTCCAGACTTCATTGCTATATATATTAAATACTTCTCTTGCCTTGTAGGCATTTAAATTGGCTAGTGCTTGATGCCACACTAATGCCCTATTCTGATATACTCCCAAGGGTTACCTAGTCTTAATGTGTTGGTTGTTTCTTTCATTACTCTGTCAGTTGACATATGGTGTGCTATCTAGTTTTTTTACATTATTATTTCTGGTGGCATACTCCTTAATATAAACACAATTAATTTACTTTTCTGATAGTACTGAGCAGACCATACTCGTCAGTCTAAACCCGTTATAACCAGTGATGTGACTGTGAGATTAGCATAACCTATCTCACTGTGGGAGAGAATTCAGAGTTCTGTGTAATTTCCTTTCCAGTAGGAATTGGATATTATTGTGTACTCACCCATCCTCACAGGCTGCCCAGACTGCACAGGGCCATAGTAAAATACTCTCGTCTACCAAAGGTTAAACATACTATGGCTGCTAAAAGTCTCTACATCTTGAGTATATAGAAAATGATACAGGCAGAAACACCAGTAAATGCATCATCATCAGTGACAAGACTTGTATGATCATGGTATCCTTGCTTAAGCACCAAAAGGAAAAATTCTCTAGGATATAAAAGATGGGCTGGAATACAGGTGAACAGTTACATTAATTAGCAAACTTATCAGTGTTAACTTTCAGTACTAAAAATAAAAAAGCGTAGTTTGGTAGTAGAGGATACTGTTTTGGTATGTAGGACAACAAATACCTTGTTGAGGCACAATGAAGTACAGATTTAATATCTGACACTATTTAATATGTACTGCAGAATAGTCTAGATTTAGAAGCATAAATACAGAACAGTAGAGGAATGATCATAAAAGCTAAAATAAAAACTAATGAATATAATGGAAAGAGTTTGGAATTTGAATACATGGTTTCAAAATCTGGCTTTGCCATTCACTATGACCATGGTACGAATAACCAAATTCTGGGTCTGTAAAATAGAGAAATCATACCAAGTAATTTCAAGAGCAAAATAAAATTATATGCAAGTGCTTAAAATTTTGAAAACTGTAATGTGTTAATACAAAATGAAAAGAATTATTGCTACAGTTATCTTTTCTGAACAGAAAATAGATCATTCTTTATCTTGCTCTTGTCTCAGCTGACAAGCATGGGCCAATGGGGGAAATGCCACATTGTTCATATTCGCCTCCTCATTCTTCGTTGCTCCTTTGCCCCCAGCCCAGTCCACTAGTGAATAAGAAAAATCTACATTGAGAGTTGCATACCGAACGTACTAAGAGTGGAGTCATTGAGCTCATCAGTAAATAAGAGGCTTCTAAATTTAACAAATTAACTGTTTTATGGCATGATGATAGACCAGCAAGATGGAAGACAATTGCAGACAGTATCACTTGAGGTTGACAGGGTATGACACAACTCCATTAATGAATTTAAGTAAAAGAAAGTTATTCTCAGGGTGGCTATTAATGTGTCAGCACCAACCTCTAGAACAACAGGAACATAAATCTGTTAAAAGATTTATAGATTATCCCAATAATGAGGCAAAAAACATGGCTTAAGATCACCATTCGTGCCATTATAATTAGAGAAGAACAGACTTGGTAAACTTGGCAGTGATGATAAACAGATTGATCCTCTAAGGGAGACTGATAGAACTGAAGATTCCCCCTGAGATACATAAATACAGGGGAATGTTTAAGACTGAAAAAGGCTCTTGGATATAAAGCTGATTATGACTCAACATTACTGCAGTAATTTAAAGCAAAGTTGAAAACTTGAGAGTAAACACTAGTCTACGTACTTCAAGAAAAGATAGAGCCTGTACTAGATGAAGAATTTAGAGATCAAAAGAAAGCCAGAATTATGACTACATATTTTGAAAGCAATGAGTAAATTTTTAAAAGCATAAGTTACTTCAGTTAAGACAACTCTTACATGGCAATATGTATGATTCATATGTATAATGATACAGGAATTCTTAGCATATACCTAAACATACTTACCAACTGCTAGATATTGAGGGCAGTGTAGTTAGGGATCTTAAGTCTGACGTGTGGAAAACTATTTCTAACAAAGGGCTGTTGAACTCAAACCAGTTCCCAGTGAATCTCAAAAGAGTCACCTCGAAAGTACTTACAAGTCAAATGCCATCTGTTAAGGGCGCCCAAATGTGTGGTAAGAGACCGTACAATTCAGATGCCCTTACACTAAGAATACAGTGGTTCACTCACTATGTGTGGTCAGGCCTCTCATCATGTTTTAGGGTGTATACGTCTTTTCTACTATAGTTACCCAGATTCTTTTTTAATTAGAAATCAGATAGGATAAAAATAATGTCAATATTTTTCTGTTAACAATGTTTCTTCATCTTAGCTCTTACGTTCGTCTCCAAGTTCAACAAATTTGCTCGGAATATACCATCAATATATGTGAATTGTATTTTTGAAAGGAACAAAATGTGACTTTGGCAAT